TGTAATAATTTATAAAAATATGTAAGGGTTAAATTTTAGCTATCGATTACATAATTATTACATTGCCCATCCCTAGTTTCAAAATCAATGATTCGATGTCCGATTTCGGATAAAATAAGTGACTTATTATTTCAAAAGAAGCGACATACAAATTCTATTTTTTTAAGGTATGTACTTATTTACATAATCGTTTACCGGTGAATTTTTATCAAAAAAAAGCTAATTTTATCGCCTATTTAATTTTCTGATTCGGAATTCTAAAAAAGAAAATAGGATCTTTTAAACTCTCACTTATTTTTGAAAAAAAAGTTGTACTGCACATACTTTTGTTACTTTGTTAACCGTATACCATTAAAAATCAGCATATTTCCTAAATCTGCGCTACCGTACAGTACTACTTTACTTAACACTTTGAATTGTGTGTTCGTAAATTAACACCTGGAACCAATTAGTTATCACGATTTCTAGACTTATGTCATTCCTTGGAATAGTACGTGTACACTGACGTACGTACGCGAAAAAAATCCAAATTGCTATAAATGGTACATCTAACGGTACATCTCTGATCACCCGAATTCCAACATATAGAACTTAATTTGCATTACCATTACTGACTCTTCAATAGATATAAATATACGCTTTACTAAAATACGCCTATGCCGTGGTGTTCTAAGTAAAAAATGTTCCACTCTCCCCGAACCTTAAATCTAACCATAAATACTAACACTAACGCAAAAAATACAATAAAAATATATATAATAGGTGAAAACCACTATAGGTGCGTTTTATAATATTTGTATAACATATGCTAGATAGTGATTTAACATTTTAAATAGTTTTCATAGATTTAAGTCCTACGAGCAAAGTTGTGAATATTTTATAAAAATCAATTATGTACCGATATGCTATTGTTGCGTGTAATAATTGCCGAAAGTCTAAAGCGGCATGTTCTGGTGAGCCAAATTGTCCGAGGTGTAAATGGAAAGGTCTCGATTGTATATTTGATGAGCGAAGTATACTTAAACGAGAACGTTTATCAAAAGTTATAACTAATATCACAACTAGTAAAGATAGATTTCGTAGACCTTATGTTTCAACTGCATGTAATCCTTGTGCACGAGCTAAAGTAAAGTGCTCAGGAGGTATACCATGTGATAGATGCAGTAAACGTGTTCACAGAGAATGCATATATATAAATAAGTCTGGAAATATTAGAAATAAAAAATTTGATGAATCATTAGATTTTGATGAATCTCTTGCGATATGTTCATTATGCAGTAAATCAGGAAATTTTTCAAACGAGTATTATCAGTGTGAAATTTGCATCAATGAATTTGGTTTAGGTAGTTGTGGAAATAAAGAGATTGATGAATTTCTGAATTCCAAAGGGGATCAATTCGAATGGATTCCATATAATGGTTTTCGAGATATTAAATATTTATCCAAAGGTGGTTTCAGTGTAGTATATAAAGCTAAATGGGAAGAAAATGAGGTTGTTCTCAAAAGTCTTTATAATTCTACTGATATTAATGTTGAATTTTTAAAAGAAGTAAGTGATACAATTTCCCAAATATGATTTTATTGACAATCATTTCATGTCAGTGAAATAACAATACGTGAATACATAATTATATACTAAATATATTCGTATTTATTTTATATTTACATATTATTTATAGGTAGAATCTCTTAAAAAATTCAAAAATCATAAGGGTGTAGTTCAAATTTATGGAATCACACGTGATCCATTTGATAAAAGTTATTTGATGGTAATGAAGTATGTTTCTGGTGGAAATTTATATGAATATTTAAAAAGGTCTTATAAAAGACTTAATTGGAAAAATAAAATAGTATTGTTACAGGATATTGCAAAAAGGTAAGTTATATTTTTTGGAAAAGCTTGATCTTCTTAATATGCAGTAATAGCGTAGTAACATACTATCAGGTACGTATAATAGTTACTGCAGATTAAGTAAATTTGGTTTCTATAAAGTCGTATATTATCGAATTCATTAATTAATGTATTACTTTTTATAGTCTCAAAGTAATTCATGACAAAGACTTGGTCCATCGCGATTTACATAGTGGAAATATCTTTATAGAAAAAGAATCTAATAGAAACCACGCATTTATAGGTGATTTAGGAATGTGCAGACCGTCTAATGAACCTGCAAATTCAAAATCTGTATACGGAGTTGTGCCATATATTGCACCTGAAATGTTTAATGGGGAATTTTTTACAAAAGCAACAGATATTTATAGTTTTGGTATGCTCATGTGGGAACTCACCTCTGGACAAAAGCCATTTGCTAATCAACCACACAATATACATTTAATAATGAATATTTGTAATGGACATCGTCCAGATATTACTGAAGATACACCTGAATGTTTTAAAGAGTTAATGATCCAATGTTGGGATAATAATCCAACTAAACGACCGGAAATTAATAATGTATATCAAACTTTATGCGAGTGGAAAAAATCGGAAAATATGCAATTTGAAGAAGCAGAATCAATTAGAAAGAAAATTATTAAATCTTATAATTATCAAAAAGCATTGAATCCTATACATTCAGAAGCCATATATACAAGCCGCCCTTTAAATAACATGATTCAAGAATCTATATCATGTAGAAGGTCTTATAGTTATTTTGGTAAGCGTAATTTCTTAACATATATGATTTAATTTAAAAAATAATTATTAATGAGTAATAATTGGACTTTTAGAACAATATTCCGAACAATCCAAATTTGATATCATGGCAAACAAGTAGAATTGTTGTTGTGTATATATGTCGTAAGTGGGGTTTTAGTATAAGTATTCCATTCTAATCTAGGTGGATTCTGAACCTATTATGATTCCATTTCCACTTACTACATATTTTAATGATTCGGGATCATATATCGCGCGGGATAAATCTAGTTTCACTCATCTTGCGAGGTTATATCGTGCGATATCTCATTATTTGTTTTATTAAAATTTATAGCTGAAGAGTATAAAATATATTTTTTCATACCCTCATGATAAAATTTTATATCCTGTATTTATTTTTAATTTATATTCATTTTTGTCTTTCAGTGTATTGAATGTTTGTTTTTGTTTTTTTTGTGAACATAATATAGTAGTTTGAGAACCTCATAAGAACAGTAATTTGACCTGAAATTTCGAACACTGGGATAGCTGTCATCTTGACAGGCCATTTTTAAGAGATAGGACGAAAAAAACCGACAATCCTGCCTGAAAAAAAAAACCACCCATTAAATAATACTGTAGTATGTTCTAACAGTTACGTTCTCTTGCTCTTAAACTAAAGATGGAAATTAAGCAATTTTTTTTTATGTAATACAAATCATCTAAAAATTCTTTTATTGAATATTTGGAATTTTACAAAAAAAATTCATTGCCTTATAACCTTAAATAAAATCTATAAAGTAATATATATATTTTTGCAAAATTATATTTGCTTATTGAGTAATACAATTTAAATAAATATATAATAGAAATTTTCAAAGACTAATAATTGACAAAGTATTGTTTGATTAGTTGGGTTCTCTGGAATTTCTTTCTCATTAAATCAACATGAATGAGATAGAATTAAAAGGGAATTTATAATGGTAAATTTAGCTATAGGTTTCCATGAATTAATAGAGATTAAGGGTGCTTTTAAGCTTCTCTCTCTATATAAATTGTTAATAATCGAGATCGTGCACAAGTATTACAATTAATTTAAGGAATCGTTATTGCCAAAGATTCATGTTGCGAAACGCGGATATTAAATTTTAGACACCAGCACAACTCTATGATAAAAAAGATAGTCTGACCATCTTTTTTTTCATAGCGATAATGAACTGGCTAAACTATTTTCCACTGAATAAAAATTAGGCACCGACCTATGAATTTAGGTGCTTGAGAGTAAGCTTGAGAGCACCCTAAGCCCATATAAAGATTTGGCTCCGGGTTACCCACCTGTTGGTTGTCTCTCAATTCACTGAAAGCTATTTCCCCACCAACCCATTTCCCTGACACCGTAATGTCGACATATTATCTTATCGAAAAAATACGCTGCAAATGAATATATTCGACATTGCATGTTTTCAACAATCCTTTTCTTAGGACATTTCCCTGACAATCATTTCCTTGACATAAAATTAGCCCGATTTACAGCCGTTTTCAAAAATTTGTGGAAAATGCAGATCACTATACCAAGGAGAATTCGCGATATTTCCCAGATTACCAAAGTTTTTAATTAAGACCCGCTCTAATCAGATTTTTAATTTTTACTAAGCAGAATTTCCACATTCTTCGATTCCCTACATGGGTATATGGAAATCGGTTTTCACATCTTTTTGAAAACAGCTGTAGAGTTAGTGTTAATTAGAATTATATGTCGAGGAAATAATTGTCGAGGAAATGTTTTATCTAAGAAAAGGATTGTGATATCAAATATGTCTTATCTAAAAAATGTGCTGTAGATGAAATAGCATGTCGGAGAGTCACCTACTTATTTATAAGACTATTATTACCCGAGTAAAAAATCAATTTATTAAAAATAATCAGAGTGACCCGTTAACCGTTAAAATCTTATCAATACAGTCAAACTTTTCTAAATGTATAGCCAAGGGGCCTATATGAAAACATTTGAAAACTTTGCATTTAGAGAGGTATTGCATTTAAGGAGGTAAAAATCTATAAGTATTATGTATACAATATAAGTTGGGACTGAGTGGAGTCATGCATTTGGGGAGGTATTGCATTTAGGGAGGTAAAAATCTATAAGTATTATATAAGTTGGGACTGAGTAGAGCCATGCATTTAGAGAGGTATTATATAAGTTGGGACTGAGTAGAGCCATGCATTTAGAGAGGTATTATATAAGTTGGAACTGAGTAGAGCCTTGCATTTAGGAATATAAAAATCTATAAGTATTATATAAGTTGGGGCTGAGTAGAGCCATGCATTTAGAGTGTTGCATTTAGGGAGGTTTGACTGTATATTAAAACGTTATGTCCATCCGTCACATCGATGAAAGTAAGGCGAGACCAACTGGATTCTGTGTTTTACATTACCCCCTCTCCCCTCCGGAAGAGGGGGGGGGGGGGGGGAATTTGTGGTTTACATAGTAAAATTTAAAAAATCTTTTTTTTTAAAACAA